AAAAACAAAAAAAAAAAAAAAAAAAAAAAAAAAAAAAATAAAGCTACTATGAACATTCATGTTGAAGTCTTTGTATGGATATACGCTTTCATTTCTTTTTGGGTAATACCTATGAGTGGAATGGAAGGATCATATGCATAGGTGTCTATTTAACTTTTTAAGGAACTGCCAAATGGTTTACCAAAGTGGTTGTACAACTTACGTTTCTACCTGCAATGTACAAGAGCTCCAGTTGCTCTTCATCCTTGCCAGTCTTTCCTACAGTCAGTCTTCACTACAGCTGCTTTTTGTTTTTTAAATTTTAGCCTTTCTCTTATTTGGTTTTAATTTGCATTTCCCTAAGGACTAATGATATTGAGCATGTTCATGTGCTTACTTCCCAGCAGAATATCTTCTTTGGTGGAGTGTCTGTTCAGATATTTTTCCATTTAAAAAAATGGGTTGTTCATTTTCTTATTGTTGAGTTTTGAGAGTTCTTTACATATTCTGGATGCAAGTCCTTTATGAAATATGTGATTTGCAAATATTTCTCCCCCTCTGTGGCTTATCTTTTCATTCTCAATAGTAACTTTCACAGAGCAGAAGTTCTTAATTTGGTAAGTCCAATTTATCAACTTTTTTCTCTTATGGATTGTGCTTTTAGTGTTGTATCTAAGAAATCTTTGACTAACTAAAAATGAAAATGATTTTGTCCTGTGTTTTCTTCTAAAAGTTTTATAGTTTTAGCTTTTACATTTAGGTCCTTGATCCATCATGAGCTAATTTTTGTATATGTTTTACCGCTTGTTGAAAGACCTTCATTTTCTTCAACTGAATTGGCTTTGCCCCTTTACTGAAATAGATTGGCCACATATATGTGGATCTGTATTGGGACTCTGTTTTCTTTCAGTGATCTATTTGTGTATCTTTACACCAATAACCCTTTGCTGATTACTATAGCTTTATAATAAGTCTTGAAATCAGGTGGTGTTAGTCATCCCACTTTATTTTTCTTTCACAAAGTTGTTTCTGGCTACTCTAGGTCCTTTGAATTTCCATACGAATTTCATAATCAGATTATCGATTTCTACTCCAAAAAGCCTATTAGGATTTTGATTTGGATAGCACTGAATCTAAATAGCAAATTGTAGAGAATCAACATCTTAATAATACTGTCTTCCAATCCATGAGTGCAGTATGTCCCTTTTATTTAGGTTTTCTTTAATTTCTCTCAGCAATGTTTTACGATTTGCATTGTATATGATTTTCTTGTACATATTTTGCTAGGTTTATTCTCAAGTATTTCATGTTTTCTTGATGTTATAATGATAGTTTAAAAAATTTCAGTTTCTGATTGTTCGTTGCTGGTATATTGAAATACCACTGATTTTTGTATATTGATCTTGTACCCTGAAACATTGCTAAATCTGTTATTAGTTCTAATAGCTTTTTGTAGACTCCATAGGATTTTCTACATAGACAATCAATGTCATCAGAGAATAAAGACAGTTTTACTTCTTCCTTTCTAATCTGGATAGCTTTACTTCTTTTTAGTGTTTTATTGTACTGGCTAAAATCATCGTTATGATATTGAAATAGAAGAGGTGAAAGTAAACATCTTTGCCTTGTTCTTGATGTTAGGAAGAAAACAGTCAGTCTTTTACCATTAAGTATAAGGGTAGCTGTATTATAGATGCCCTTTATCATGTTGAAGAAGTTCCCTTCTACTCCTAGTTTGTTGAGGGTTTTAATTGTTTTTATTAGGAATAAATGTTGGATTTTATCAGGTTCTTTTTCCATATTACTGAGATGATCATATGGGTATTCTTTTTTAACTCTATTGGCATGGTGAAATACAGTGATTGATTTTTGAATGTTAAACCAGCCTTGCATTCTTGGGGGTAAACCCTACTTATTACAATATATTATCCTTTTTTATACATTATTGGATTCAATCTGTTACAATTTTTATTAAGAATTTTTGCACCTATGCTCATGAGAGATATTATTCTGAGTTTTCTTTTTTATAATAGTTTTTTGTCTGATTTTGGTGTGAGGATAATGCTGATTTTATAGACTGAGCTGGGAAATACTTCCTCCTCTTCAATTTTCTGCAAGAGTTTATATAGAATTGTTATGTTTTCTTTAAATGTTTGGTAGCATTTACCATTTAGTCCTGGATTTTCTTTCTTTTCTTTCAAAGGTTTTTAACTACCAATTCAATTTCTTTGAAATTTGTTTCTATTTATTCTTTTCTTTTTACTGTGGTAAAATATACATAATAAAATTTACCATTTTAACCATTTAAGGGTACAATTCAGTGACATTAAAGACATTCACATTGTTGTGCAATCATCACCACTATTTCCAGAACTTTCTCATCATCCCAAATTTGTAGAGAGATACTTTGAAACTATGTAAATATCCTGTTTCTCATCAAATGTTCAACCACTAGTTTAGCATCTATTGCTATTTCTTCACTGTGGCTATTCTAGGTAACTTATATAAGTGTAATCATACAATGTTTGTCTTTTTGTGTCTGGTTTATTTCACTTAGCATAATGTTTTCAAGGCTCACCCATGTTGTAACATATATCAGAATTTCATTCCTTTTTATGGCTAAATAATATTCCGTTGTGTGCATATACTCCATTTTGTTTATCCATTCACCCGTTGATGGATACTTGAGTTATTTCCAACTTTTGGCTACTGTGAATAGTGCTGCTATTAATATTGGTGTACAAATAATCTGTTTAAGTCCATGTTTTCAATTCTTTTGGGTATATACCTAGCTAATTCTTATTTATTTTTGAGTGAACTTTGGTAGTTTGCGTCTATGAAGAAAGCAGTCTATTTCATTATGTTGTTTAATTTATTAGCATAAAGTTATTCATAATATTCCCTTATTAACATTTTAATGCCTTTAGAATTTGTTGTGATGTCACTTTTCCCATTCTTGATATTGGTAATTTTTGTCTTCTCATTTTTTCTTGATCAGTCTGGACAAAGATTTCAATTTTATTTATCTTTTCAAAGAAACAGCTTTTTGTCTCATTGATTTTGTCTGTTTGTCTATAGTTTATTTCATTGATTTCTGTTCTGATCTCTATTATTTCCTTTCTTTTGCTTACTTTAGGTTTCATTTGCTCTTCCTTTTCTGGCTTTTTAAGGCAGAATCTGAGATCACTGATTTGAAACCTTTCTTCTTTTCAAATATAGGTATTAAGTGCTAAAAATTTCCTGCTAAGTAAAGCTTTAGATCCAATCCACAAATTTTTATATGTTGTGCTTTTTCATTCAGTTTAAAATATTTTCTAATTTTCTTGTGTTATTCTCCCTTTGTCCAATGAGTTATATGGAAGTGTGTGGTTTAATTTCCAAAACTTCGGTGGATTTTCCATATATCTTTTTATTATTGATTTCTAATTCAACTGTGGTTGTCTGGAAAAGATTTTTATTTCACCTTTGTTTTTGAAAGATATTTTCACTGGTATAGAATTCTAGGTCAAAAGTTTTTTTAAAAAGTACTGTAAAGATATTTCTCCACTGTCTTCTGGCTTACACTGCCTCTAATGAGAAACCTGCTCTCATACTTATCTTTTGTCCTTTTTATGTAATGTGTACTTTTTCCCTCTAGTTGCTTTTAAGTAAGATTTTCCCTTTTATCACTGGTTTTAAGCAATTTGATTATGATGTGCCTTGGTATAATTTTCTCCATATTTCTTGTGCTTGAGGTCATTGAGCATCCTGGATTTGCAGTCATCCTTATCCTGCTTGGAATCTGACACTCCATGCCAGGACACTGCCACCCCCACTTCTGACATGGATGACTATTGTCAAATTTATTACTTTTGTCAATAAGATTTGTGAAAAATGTTATCTCAGGGTAATTTTAATTTGTATTTCTCCAGTGAGGCCGAGCATTTTAATTGTTTAAAAGTCATCTGTATCTTCTTTTCTATAAACTGATCATATTTTGTTCAATTTTTGTATTGGTTTTTTGATCATTTTTATATTGATTTATCTGTATCTTTTATCTTTTCTACAATGGGCATGCATTTTTTTTTGCAATAAGAAGATACAACATAAAGTAATTTTAAATTTAAAACGTGCTTTTAAAAACTCATGTAGTTTCCTGGTATCGGAAAAATATTCATAATCCATGGTAGCTAGTATTTTATTATAACTTCTCAGGGGCTTATTTTCACTTCTCTTTGTGATAAAACCTACATAACTAACATGGAGTATGTGAGCTTAAAAGCCTGAGTCACTCTGGACTGCCTATCTTTTGACCAGGGGCCCTAGAAAAATCATAAACTCTCGTATCTGTAAAGAGATCTGAAGCTCCATCACTTCAGTAGGTTTTCCAATGGCCCTGGGAAGCTGACAGGTCATTGACAATGATCCCCATTTTATAGATTTTTTTTTTTTTTTTTTTTTCGGTAAGCGGGCCTCTCACTGTTGTGGCCTCTCCCGTTGCGGAGCACAGGCTCCGGACGCGCAGGCTCAGCGGCCATGGCTCACGGGCCCAGCCACTCCGCGGCATGTGGGATCTTCCCGGACCGGGGCACGAACCCGTGTCCCCTGCATCGGCAGGCGGACTCTCAACCACTGCGCCACCAGGGAAGCCCCCCATTTTATAGATTTTTAAACCAGAGGCTTAGAAAGGTAAAGTGACTTTATCATATGGAAGGTTAGATTTAGAAGTTACCTTAAAGATGATCTCATTCTCTGTACTCAGAGTCCTACAATTAGTAACTACAGCAAAACTTTGGCTTGGACTCAGGTGTTCATTCAAATAGCAGTAATCAAAGTGAGGATCCCTATCACTTTAAGTCCTTAGGGGAGGACAGATAGCTTCCCTGGGCAGGCATACTGGGGGTGCTGGAGCCTTAGGTCTTTCTATGCTCACCTTTGGCAGCAGTCAGCATGGTGGAGGCCAGTTCACACTGCTGCGATTCCAAGTGTCCAAGCGTGAACCAGCGAGGGTAACGGCTGGGCACCACAGATACCATATGGTGAGGGTGGGAAGTGTCGCCTGCAGAAGTTGAGTTTTCTAGAACAGGTAACCTAGAAGACCCAGGGAGAGTCATAAGCTATCACCCAGACCCTTGCCATTTGGAGCCACCTTAGAGCAGCTTGTTCTTTGCTGGGGAGGAATTGGGCAGGAAAGGGTTAATGAAGAACTTTGAAGGTTTTAAAACCTATGGTACCGTACTTTATATGAGGTGAGTGCCTGGGCACTTGTAGAACTCAAGCTGAATAGTTCTTACTGCAAATGGATTTGAAAGACAGTTCAAAAACCATAAGATTATTTTTAAAAGCATAAGAAATATATGCCAAGTAATCCTCAGCAGTCCTTTTTGGTTGAGCTGAGGAGCTTTCTCAGCCTTATAGCCTAACTAAAATTCTTCTTCTGTATGTTCTGCTGCATCCTAGAGGTCCACCTGCCTGAACCAAGGATCCTATTCTAGTTTGGAAACAGGATGCCCATAGCTCATTGTTCTCAAGTCTTGATATAGAAAAACTTACTTCTACTTCCCCAGATGTATCTGGTGACCTGTGCCTGGGAACCATTTCTCAGTTAGGTATGGAAAGGCTCAAACCCCTTGTGAAGCTGCCAAACTGAGCCCAGAACAAAGAGACTCAGGCCTTGGGTGCTCCATATCTGTTAAAAATTCAGAGACTTTCTCAGACAGTTCACTGAGAATGCAGCCAGGGAGCAAGTGCGTCACCAGCAAGGCATCCCAGATAGGAATCCTAGATCGTATGAAAAAATCTGAAGCATTTTAGGGCAGGCTGATGGCAGGTCCAATAGAATAGAGAAAGAGTGAAAGAGAAGAAAGTGAGATAAACAAAGAAAAAGAACATCTGAGACTTCTGGTTTAGTGGAGGCATTTGGGCTAGGAAAGGGCTACCCACCTCATGGCACGTAAGGCTAATTTATAGGACAGGTCTGGATCATGAGGCAGTAGAGCTGAGAACAAATACTTGGCAAAGGTATGCATGGGAACACTCTCTCGGTGGATGACTTCTCCCAGACCGCTGAAGGGGCCTCCTGCAGGAAGAAGATAAGCCAGCCAGTTATTTATCTGTATGCTTTTATTTGTCTGTCTTGAGCCTTAGGATCCCACATGTGTTTGCTAGCCATAAGAACCTTCACCATACTTTAACGTCAAAAATGTTGCTATACCTGTGTTCTGTTAGAGAGGGGAACCCAGAGTCACAGGCCTAAGATTCGGTGACAATAGCCCCTTCTCTACTTACCTTCCAGGAGTAAGATGCACTGCTTCTGCAGTGTTTGCACTAGCTCATCATCCAGCTGCAGCTCCTGGAGTCGACTCAGGAGCTGCTCCTCATTACGGCACACCTTGTCCTGCGCGTAGAGGCCTTCAGGCATCACCCTCTGTTGACCCATCCCCATCAGAGCAACTTCCATGGCCAATGACAGGTAGGACTCACTGCTGTCTGGGCAGCATGCAGCCACAGGCACATGCTGGTACACAGGGGCTCTGCTTTCATTCACATCTGAGGACAACAGGGCACCGGATTCGGTAGGTCAGGCCCCATGGATTTTTCTGCCTCTCTTCCCCCCACACTTTGGAATATAGCTTGGTCAAGAGCTAACACAGGGAAGCTGAGTCAAACACCAGAACAGTAAGACAAATACACTGAAAAAAGGTTATACAGGGTTACAGAGATTCCTAACTCCTTCCTAATGCATTATCTGGCTAGGCCAGCTGGGGAAGAATACAATCATACTAATCTTTTGCTAGAATGTTATGTAATACTATAATTATCTATTTTTGTGTCTGTCTCGTCACTAGAATGTAAGAACCTTAAAGGAAAGAGACTTCATCTTACTGCCTGAGGCATCTCCAGGGCCTGGTATGTGGAAGGATCTAAGTGTATGTCGATGGTAAATAAACCCCAAGTACAACTTCAGGTTTTCAAGATGTAAGTGTCCTTGTGCAGATGAAACAGACCAAAGATGATGAGTCCTTTTTCAGGGGATCAGAGGGAAGATAGGGTAGCCCCTACCTTGCATTGGGGCCACCCCTTGTATCTCTACCCACAGAAATCCAAATCCATCCAGTTAAACTATTACTTTTGTGACATTTGCAACTTTTATGTTATTATTACTTTATATGTTCCACCTTTGGGTTCAAAGTTTCAGGAGGAGAGCACAGGTGTAAAAGCCAGAGTCTTAATTTCTTTCCTTTCCCCTTCCTCCATCTGGTAAATATTTATGGAAGACTATTAAATGGGAGTTATTGCCCTAAGTGCTAGGATCACAATGATAAGTCATAATTTCTGCGTTCAGGGACCTGACAGTCTAGTAAGACATACTTACTTGTAAACAGATTGTAATGCAGTGTGCTAAAAACCGTAACAGGTGTATGTATACAATACAGTGATAGCATAAAGGAAAGAAGAATCAGTTCTGTCTCAAGTCCTTGCTACTTTGAGACTTTATTAAATTACTTCCCTTTTATTTCTGTTTTGTAAATTTGGTACAAAACCACCATAAAGGAGAATGTTCAAGGGGAACGTGAGAGTATTACGCAAGGTATACACACGGCTGATGGAAGTTTTTTCCCCCTTCCAGACTCTGAGGACTACTCGGCCTCTGACTCTTCAAATCCCCCTAGCCCTTCTTATTCCCCTTGGATTACTCTTTAGGCATTCACACGGTAGGGAAATGAGAGGAGCAAAGGAAGACTGAGGCTGGCACAGTAAAATGGGTGAGTAGGACAGGGCCAGTCCACAGAGTGGGAAAGGAAGGTGGGAAAGAGAGCAATCCCAAGAAAACCTCTCAGGGGAGGTCCAGTTTGGATAAGAGACCAAAAGGCTGCAAGAGGGGTAAAACAGCCTCTGTCATGGAGGAGAAGAGAGCTCCCAAGGGCAGTTTCGCCTTGCCTTGGGCTGACCCCTGTACCTGACACTTCCAGATAGCCATCATCATTCAGGCGGCAGGCCTCAGTCAAAGTGAGAAACAGGCAGCCAATGGGATCCAGGGGGTGGCCCACCCAGCCTTCTAGGTTTGTGATTGTTGTGGTTCCTCTCTGCAACAGTTCTGGAAACAAGCAGGTCAAGGTTTCAGAGAGTGATAGAGACACACTGCTCTCTGTCCCTGCCTGGTCTCTCCATTAGTCTCTTCACCAGTCTCTTTTAGACGTTGGCCCTGAAACTCAAAGTAAAGCTTCCCTCACTGTCTTGCTTTGGGTTGATGAGACTGGTCACAAGCTCATCATCCAGCTCTGAGGCATGTGGTATGCATTTAGGCTGCCTGCTGACAGCACATACCAGATCTTAGTGGATTCAACTGTCCTGTGAGAGAGGCAGGCCAGCATTATTATTCCCATTTTACAGATAAGAAAACTGATATTCATAGAGGTAAAGTGAGGCACTCCACACAGCAAGGAGAATGACCTAGAATCCCCTAGCCCCTGTAACACCAGGAAACTTAATGAAAATTAAGTACTAGGCCATGCAGCCCCTGAGGATCCTCATCAGCCTCAGCCTAAGGAGTTAAGATGGCTCTTGATCACTATACCTTTCTTCTGATGCTTGTAGATTTCCAGCTGCCGTTGCTGCTGCAACCTCAGAGTATTGATAATGGCCACTGTGAGTCTGAGGGCCTCTTTTGGGTAACCATGGGAACGCAGGGCATCAACCCGAGCACAGGCTGTAGGCACATGCTCTACCAGATGAGAAGAAAATATTTTGATTGAGTTAAATTTTCAAATCAGGAAAATTCATGCTTGACAAAGGGAGACTGTATTCAGTTCAGTTCCTCAAATTCAACCTGACATCTACTGTGTACCAGAAATTGTATTTTATCTTTTAGGGATAGAAAGTTGAATAAGTCACACGTACTACCTCCAAGGAGATACCCTGCAGCCCCAGTGTAGTGGTTTGGTGTAGAAAGGGACAAAGAACTAGGATAATAAAATGTTGTACCTCTTTGTGAACATGTACTACAGGAAGGCAATGTAGCAACAAACTGCCTTTATAGAGGGAAAGGCCTCATTTGTTTATTAATCCTATGCTTCCTGAGAACCTATTAAATGCCAGGTAGCATGCTGGGCAAAGCAGCTACAAAGATGAATACGAAATGGTCACGTTCCTCAAAGTGCTCACAAATGATCCATAAACGGATCATTATAAAACAGTTGAAAAGAAATGACATGATAGAAATATACACAGAAAGAAAATAATATTTGAGCTATATCCTTTGTAGGGCAAGTAATATTTTAAATATGTAGACAAGCAGGGAAAGGCATTCCTGGTTGCCTTTATATATAACATATAAACAGAGGCATATAAGTAAAAGCATAAAAAGTATTCTAGATAACATCTTCAGAGTATGGCAAATAGTTCTGTGTGGAGTTAGGTTATGTGGCTAGAGATAACCTGGAAAGGTAGAGTCTGGGATGTTAAGAGCTTTGGATGCCATACTAAGGAGTTTGGATTTACCTTAGGTATAACAAATGACTACCAAAGGCTTATAAATGGGGAAGTGATTATAATGAGATTTACGGTTTATTTTGTGATTTCTTTTAAGATAACATTAAAAATTATACAAATAATTATAGACAATTTGAAAATACAGATAAAATTGAAAATAAAGATTGGAGATACCATTATTTCTAGTTTCATACTTCATTTTATGAAAAAAAATATATCCAGACTTTTCTATTTAATTTTAATAAAAATGGGATATTTTAATTATTGTTTTGTAACTAGGTTTTTCCACTTAATAACGTATTGTAAGTATTTTCCCGTATCATTACACTTCTATAACATTAAAAATGATTACATATCATTCCACTGAATATGCATACTATCCATTAAGTCAATCAATCCCTTATTGTTGGACATTTAGATTGCTTCCAATTTTTCTCCTCTGTACATTATACATCCATGCTCTAATAAGCCCCATAACTTTATGCATATTCTTAGTTAATTATAGCTCAGGATAAATTCCTAGAGGTAGAATTCCTGGATCAAGGGCTATGAATGTATTTTAAAGGCTTTTGATAAATGTTGTTGAAATGTTGTAAGCATTTACATTCCTACCAGTAGTATATGAGACTACCTCTCCTACATGTAACCTCTCCTCTACCAAAACCTAATTATCTTTATTTATAAAATTTCTGACTATTTGACAATCGAAACATGATAATTCAGTGTTGTTTTGATTTGCATCTTTGTTTATTAATGAGGTTGTATTTTTTCTCATGCTTGTTATATATACGTTTTAGAAGTGTTAGATCAGAGAAGAAGAAATATAATCAAGGGGAATTTCAGGTGGATTCAGCAAGATCTTGTGAAAGACAAAGATATGGGGTGAGGGGTGGAGGTAGGGAATTGGGAGATGATAATAAAAATGTATGCCATTGACGTTAAGACTCAGAAAATGCGTATTTTTAAAAAGTGTCTAGTTTGGAATGGGCATTCTGTAATAAAGTCAAGAACAGATTGACAGAGGCTAGAGGAGGGTTTAAACTCACAATGGAACAGCTCTATTCTGTTATGATGACGGAAGGAATGAGGCAAGGAAGACAGCTTGGTGACAAATGCAGATAGTGCCTTAGCTACTAGTACAGAGTAATTTAAGTTTCAAAGTTCATGCCTTTTCAGCAAAATATGTAATTTCAGAGTAGATTACAATGCTGCTCAGTAACTGCTGACTAAGAGAGCCTGTGAACTAATGTCTAATGATTTTGTTAGTACTCTTTCAGATTTACTAACTCCTTTCCCCTCCCCAAACTTAGGAAACAATAAAATCCCTCTATTTGAGGTTACTGTACCTCATTTGTACATATGCAAATCGCCCAGGCTACACATAAATACCCTGAGGCCCTAGTCAAGGCCCCAGAAGATCTGTATGAAGACTGTCCAAAGTGTAGTTGTGTTGCTGGTACCTATGCAGGTGGCTCACTCAAGCTTGGCATGAGGTGAGAGTGGGCTCTGAAATTCTGAGAGTAAGACAGGTACACTTACCAAGCCACAGTGGCTGGCCTTGGGAATTAAAGAGTAGTCTCTCACTTTCCTGCTGGCAGGCAGGAGCTATATATACATCACTGCTGATTATTCGCTGTAAGTGGCTGTCCTGCCAATGCAATTCACGGCCCTCGATGGCTCTAGTGAACACTGTCCGTCTTGGTCTGGATAAAGAATCTGGGGAAAGAAAGAAATGCAGCAGTTCAATGATGGGTAATCTGAAGCTCTAGCTCGTGTGTCTTCTTCAGGGTGGGAGGAATGGCAGAAGAATAGTGTATAGTTAGTGACAGCAGTCACTCTGCCATCTGTCTGGGTGTTCATTGTGTTGCTTCTTTATTGGATAGCTTTTAGTGTGTCTGTGCCCTCTATGGGAAAACCTTTCTACACAGATCTATGGCTGAAGACCAATTTCTCCTAGGACCCAGAGCCACATGAAAGAGAGGAGGGACAGTGGTGCTCAGCTGCTCAATTATGAGGATACAAACTGCTTCTATAGAAGCCAGAGGAACAGAGAGGCAGGTAGGTAATGTCCCTGGCCAACCCATAACCTGTTTCTTTTACAGCATGACCCACATCAGACTAAGTACTTCTGTGACATTGATATAAAAGCTGAAAAAGAGCTGAAGCCCTGTGTATTCTGGTATCTTTATCACACTAGTGTCTGCAAGCTTACAACCTTGTTCTCCCATAAGAAAAACTGATGCTGACAAAAGACTAAATTGTTTTCTCACTGGAGTCCTACCATGCCATCTCTCTTCAGGAAAAGGGCTGCAGGGAAACAGTAGACAAAGTAAGCTCAATTCTTCAGGGTGGTGTGTAGGAAGACCAAATGGAAGATACAATCATAAAATGTGGATATAGAAGGACTCATGGAAGTGACATTTAAGGAAATAAAAACATAAACGATCATTTAACTCTCTGCCAGACTAAGAACAGTTGAAACTATTCTGGGATCAAGAACTGAAATACAGGTATTTCCAGAGATGCCCAAATGAGTTGTGCATCTACTGAGCCTGTGCAAAAATACTGGGAGGGAAAGTCAGAGGATTCAGACTGAACATGAAAGAAATGAAGATATTCATCTACTAAGCAAAAGTCCTTGGAATCTGGTCATCTCTTCAGAAACTGGTATATTCCTTAGAGTGCAGGCTCAGAGGATTAAATCAGAATAGCACTGACAATATTTACTGAAATTGCTTCTCCTTCATGTCACCCCTCAGTTGAAGCACAATGACCCTTCTACTGGCTGCAGTCGGAGCCCCTCTCCTGCTAAACTGAGAATCCACCATGGGTCTGCTCAGCCCACAGTGGGGATTAGGCTCCCAATATGTTTTGTATTTCATGAAGTCAGCAAATAATGACTGCCTATTACATGGCAGGTACTGTTCTAGGTATTGAGGATATAAGAAGTCCTTGGCTTCATGGACCTTTATATTCAGATGGGGAGAGACAGTTAAATGAATGTATAGTATAGTAAATATATAAGATGGTTATGAGTGCTAAGGAAGAGACTAAAGCAAAGTTAGGGAGAAAGGCAAGTTGGTATTGGGTGGGGGTTATTGTTTTATATAGCATGGTTTTTAATAAGGTAACATTTGAACAGAGACCTGAAGGAACTGAAGAGCAAGCCTCAGATATAACTAAGGGAAGAGCATCCTAGGCAAAAGGAACAGCAAGTGCTACTGGTGGGAACATATTTGGAGTGTTTGAGGGTAGTGAGGAGGCCAGTGTACCTAGAATGGAGTAAATAAGCAGGAAAGTCATAGGAGATGAGGTCAGAGAGATACTAGGAAATCAGACCATGGAGGGCCTTCTGGGCCATGAGGCAAAGATGAGAAGCCACTGGAGGTCTTTGAGCCATTGAAGGTATATGATCTGATTTGCATTTTAAAAGGACAACTGGCAGCAGTATTGAGAACAGACTTTACGATGGAAGCAGTTAGGAGGCCACTGCAATAATCTGTGAAAGATGATGGTAATCTGGTCAGAGTGATAAGCAGTGGAGGTGATGAGAGCAAATGAACCCTGGATATATTTTGAAGGTAAAGGTAATAGGATTTGCTCATGGATTAGATCTGGGATGAGAAAGAGAAGAATCAAGGATGACTCCAAGGTTTTTAAGATAGACTTGTCATATATGGAGACAGGGAAGACTGCAGGAGGAGCAGGTTTGGGTGGGGCTAGAGGGGTAAGAAATCCTACTGAGATCCTATTAATATCTAAGCTGAAGCATCAAAAAGGTAGATGAACATGTAAATCTGGAGTTGAGAGGAAAAGTCTGGGCAAGAGATATAAATCTGGATGTTGTTAGTATATAGATGATTATTAAAACAATGCAATTACCAGGGGAGTAAATATAGAAAGAGAAGTGGTTTGATAACTGAGCCCTGGATACTCTAGCATTTTAGGTTGGGAAGTAGTGGGGAGACAGTAAAGGAGACTGAGAAGGCGGGGCCAATGAAGAGGAGAACAAAGAGAGCAGTGTCTTGGAAATAAGGTGTATGAAGGAGAGAGTGATCGATTGTGACAAATACCGCTGATAGGTCAAGTAAGGTTCTGACTGAGAACTAGATTTAGCAATGGTTAGCGTTAGTGATCAGTACAAGAGATGTTTCAGTACTGAAGGGATGAAAGCCTGACTGGAATGAGTTGAAGAGAGAATAAGAGCAGAAGAAGTAGAGAAGATAAATATATAATATTCTTTTGAGCATTTTTCTTAATTCTACCACTTATTTCTACTACCTCAGAGAAACAAGGTGGTAGACAGAGAGTCATGTGGGGTCAACAAGAATGTTTTTTGCTTTGTTTTGTTTTGGGATGAAAGATAAAACAATGTGCTTGTATACTCAGAGGAATAATCCACAAATACCTGTGATGCAGGAGACAGTAGAGATAGTTCCTGGGGTGATGTCCTAGATAAAAGGAATAAGATCTCAAGAACAAATGGAGGGTTTGCACTTAGACAGAAGCACAAACAAAAACAGCAGAAGAGGCAGAGTAGATGGGTATAGACAGAAGCAGATGTGGTGACAGAGTTTTGGAAATTCTCTTCTGATTGCTTCTATATTCTCAGTGAACAGAAAGCAAGTCTTCAGGATGAAAGTGAGGATGGGGAGAAAGTATAGAAAGTTTTAAGGAAAAGATGGTGTGAAATAGTAATTTAGAAGACTGAAAGAAGGCATAGACTAGGGAAATGTAGTTGATGTCTGGACAATACTATGGACCCACTTGAGATTAGTGGTCATAAACTTAAGATAAGACCAGTTATCGTAGTCATGTTTCTCTCCACCATGTTCAGCTGTGCGGGTGTGAGCACTGAGTAACTAGAAAGTTAGACTGAACTACTAAGGTTAGGGTTTTGCTATGTGAGTGTAACTAAGGGAATGAGGGGGTTGAGTATGTATGCAAGGTAGTGATTATAATGATGCACCAAGGAATCTAATCGGGATAAGAAGGAAAATGAGGCTACCACAAGAATGAAAAAGTGATAGGATCAAAATTCCTAGTGGGTCAAAGAATTACTGGAACTGGAATACCAAAGAAAATAACCTAGTAAGACTGGTGGTGCTAATTAGAGCTGCTTGAAATTGCGATTGTGAAGAAGGTGTAGTTATTGGTAATGACAAGCTAAAGCTTGTATGATCTTGGGGTTGCATAGCTAAGTTATGATAGAAGACAGACTATTAAAAGAGAGGAGGTCAAAGAACTGAAAGACTAGAATACTGAAAGTACCATCTATGTGGCTATTTAAATGACCAAGAATCATGATAGAAGTAGAGGCAGAGAGTAGTGTTAGTGAACCAGTAACCAAAACTCTTCAAGGAATGAGGGGGATTGCCCCAGAGGTCAAATGACCAAAACCTGGAGGGCAGCAGACAGCATATTTTAACAGCACTGACTTTAAAGCTGGGGGGTATTTTAGGAAGGAGGGTAGGACAATGATGTAGAAATGACAATGAAGAATAAGCAGGATGCCTATTGCTCCATCAGGCCCAAAGGTAAAGAGATGTGAGAGATAAATCAGCCACAGCTTGAGAAGACTTAAGAGGAAACAGCATCCTCAAATATACTGTCACCAGTATACTGTGACAAGGAAGAAACTGCCAGACTGGAGGCATATGTTTATACACATGTGACTCTCTCTATGCCAAACCAAAGTCAATACTAAAAGGATACATTCCTGTGTTGTGGAGGTTAGATGAATGCCAGCAAAGGGTAGCTTCAAGTGGCAAAGTTGTAGGCTTTTCATCTCTCATTACCTTGGTTGCCTTAAATACACTGATAATCAATTATGGTACAGTAGATGAAGACCAAGCAAGAACAATAATTTAAGTGATTTCCTCCTAGAGGTTAAAAGTATCAGTAGATTTATCACTTAAAATAAAAGGAAGGACATGTAAAATCAATGTCTGATAAAATCTACCAATAAAGGATCCCCATGGGCTAAAGAGCAATCAATTGCCAACAGCAAATGGCCTGAGTTAGATGAACTAAAGCTGATGTGAATGTCGATGTCCAGTGATACCTGATCAGTGGGCTCAAAAGGTAGAGGGTACAATATCACTGTACTGGATTTGTCTTAAAATGGAGCAAGAGTCCTAGCCATATCTCGGAACGATGACCCCCTCCTAGAAATCTGCTGTATAAAAATTTGAGGAAAACAGAGAAAAGTAAGTAAGAAAGGCAATTGTCAGGACATTTTTTTAAGTTGTTTTTTTTTTTTTTTCTCCCAGGTCTTCTATCATTCCCTTGAGGTAGGTCTTCTGAGCTAAAACCAACCCCAACTGAGGCCAAGATCCATTAGTCATGAAAAACTTGAAGGGTAAAGAGGATTCATGAAGAGGGCTCTAGGAATTTAGGCTGGGCACTGTAAGGACACTCTAGATGTGGAAAAGGACAGCATCCTCAATGTCAAAGATACAAGCTTACCCTTATTTAAGGTTTGGCATTTCAAGACAAACAAAAGAACAGGCTTTTCTTATTTAGGATAACAATTCTGACAGTCCAAAAGTTGTCCAGCCACCTTTGTTCTCAGGCTTTACCCTCTGACCTTTTGGAGTTCCAGGCATGAAGACGCTAAATTGATATCTGGCTCACCTGAACGGTGACTGGCATTCTGGGGAAGTGCGTTGGTGATGTTGGGCAGCTCATGCCCATAGTTCCCATCCTCCAGGGGACAGACATCCAGGTCATTCCACTTCTGCAGCTGCTGCAGCCAACAGGATTTTTCCTCCAATTTGCAATGTGGATTTAAAATGATGCACACCCATAAGGCCCCTGGAAAAGAAAGCAACCCACATTCTTGACATCTCTCCTTTGATGTATGTCTAAGCCTTAATTTTTAAGTTTACTCTTTTCTTCCATTTTTTGTTGGTAGGAAAAGTTTCCAAAATATCAGCTTTTCTCAATATAAAAAACCAAATCTAAAAAAAAAAACAGCCCCATGGCTTCCCTGGTGGCGCAGTGGTTGAGAGTCCGCCTGCCAATGCAGGGGACACAGGTTCGGGACACAGGTTCGTGCCCCGGTCTGGGAAGATCCCACATGCTGCGGAGCGGCTGGGCCCGTGAGCCATGGCCGCTGAGCCTGCGCATCCGGAGCCTGTGCTCCGCAATGGGAGAGACCACAACAGTGAGAGGCCCACACACTGCAAAAAAAAAAAAAAAGAAAAACCAGCCCCAAAACCAAATCTGCTAAAGTTTTCAGAAATGCTTATTTTTTCCTTCCCGAAGGTTTCTTAAAGCAGAGTGACTATCTTGATATCTGGATATATGCCTGTGATGATGAACAAGACAGATTTGGGCTTGAATTCTGAGCTCAGATCTGCAGTCCAACAAACATTTATTGAGAGAGTTCTTGTTCAAGACCTTGTATTGGAGAATAAGACCCTGTTCCTACCCTTGAGGAGCTGTCCAATGGGGGAGATAGATAAATAAACACAGTGTCATTTTAATATGATAAGTGTTAAGATAAAGATATATTCAGGGTGCAATAATAGCACAGAGGAAGGGCATTTAGCATAAGAAGGAAGGTGCTCAGAAAAGGATTTTAGTTGACCTTGGACTTTCTGAGCTTCAAATCCCTCAACTGTAAAACTGAGATCATAATGTAAAGGGCCTAGCATATTATTTGGCACAGAGTGGAATTTAGTATTTCCCTTTTCCAGGGAAAATCGTTTATTTGTACTTGGATTTTGATACTGTTGATCAGCTGTGATGCCTTAAAACTAGCACATTCTTGGATCTTCTCTGTCACTATAGCAGAGTATCACATATTCCACATAACCAATGAGTACTGTTTCTTTGACCACATCACCCTTCTTTGCAAGCAAACCTTCTTATTTTCAAAGTTGACTATGTGGCTGAGACAGAAGTATTCTCAATCTCAAGTTAACAATAAGCCTGGCTGCAGAGTGTCTTAAGTTAAACATCCTTTGGGATGGTGTTACATATATAGACGGCAGTATATTCAGACACTATTTCAAGGCCCCTCAAAGTCAAATAGGAATGTTTTAAAAGACCATTTAAGCCTCAATTTCAGGTACTAACTAGAGATGATGAAAATTCATTTCTATTGGCTCAGTTCAGTTTTTCAAATCCACAGTGAAAAAGAAACTACACTATGTAATATAATAGTATTATATAATGGTGGTTCTTAAGGGGATTATAGTTAGGAGTCCTTCAAAAAATAATTATACTAAAGCATAGTAAATGCTATTATAACCACATATAAAGTGCTAAGAGAATATGTATGATGGAACAATTAACTCTGTAGGTGGGGTCAGGAAAAGTTATAACATTTGAGTTTGTCCTTGAAGAATAAACATGAGTTAATTTTAGTTAAAAAATGGCTAACTAAATACATATGCTCATCATAAGTCCCTCCTGATAACTTCACTAAAATGAAAGTAGAGGGATAAAAACAGGCATAAACTCAGACACAGAGAATGGGAGAGATGAAAGAGAAGAGTCATAAAATTGGGAATCTGGAAGGCATGTGGCTGAGAGAGAGCTGATATAGCAGAAGAAAGTTGAAAACTCCATCAAGCAGTTAGGAAAGCCCAGCAGCAGACTGATTCATGCTGCAGAGCCTCGGTGAAAGTGGGGCTGAAATACAGTGGAACAGGTTAGAAGTTTGTCAAAGGTCTCAGGATCACAGACTTCCTCCTCTATTCAAGGTAGCTCAGTGCCTGTTCATTCGCTCTCCTGGAAGAAAACCAGAGCTTTACTCACTGGAAAGATAGATTCAGAGAGGCTCTGGATTGGGAATACTGTGTACAACTGAGGGTGGGGTTTCCATGCGAAAAACTGAGGGAGTAAGAAAAATATATATATTGTACAAAGGGACACACTTACCCCCACCATCCAACCCTCTTTC